GTCCCTGGTTTACGAGTACAATGGAGCCCAAAGGTTTCGTCGCTATGTGAGAGATTAGTTAAGTGAGTTTTGTCCCATTTTACGACCTTTCTTGACACAGTCGTTAGGTGAATCACTGCAGTTGTTAAGATTGTAACACGGTCGTTGAGCGAATCCAGCTTGCCCCATTGGCTTTGCTTATCAGAAGGTCGCAAAAGGTGATCACGTGACCACCCTCCCCGGGATGCTGTGGCCGTCATAAATAGGAGTCAGTTGCCAAGTGTCCGAATATCTCATCACGTGACCATGGGGAGGCTGCAAGGGTCGTGTGAAAAATGGTCATCCCTTTTTTCAATGTTGTAACTTTGAATGGTCACTAAATGAACCATTCTAAGGTGAGGATACCTGACTGGCCCCTTTTATGACTGGTGGACTTCAACTCCCAGAATTCCTCAGCCAGTATGGAGAAACCATGGCCCTTTTACGACTTGTGGACTTCCAATGCTGGCTGCGGAATTCCGGGAGTTGAAGTCCACAGGTTGCAAAAGGGGCCATACACGTAATCCTCGACTTACAACGATTCATTTAGTGACCGTCCAAAGCAGTGTTTCTCAACCTTGACCATTTTAAGGCATGTGGACTTCAACTCCCAGAATTCCACAGCCAGCAATGCTGGCTGTGGAATTCTGGGAGTTGAAGTCCACATGCCTTAAAATGGTCAAGGTTGAGAAACACTGGTCCAAAGTGACAACGGCACTGAAAAAAAGTGACTTGTGGCCGGTTTTCCCACTCGCGACTGTTGCAGCATTTCCGTGGTCAAGGGATCAAAATTCAGATGATTGAAAATGGGTTCATATTTATGACGGTTGCAACGTCCCCCTTTTGCAAAATCCATGGGGGAAACCAGATTCACGGAACAACCGTGTTACTAACTTAGCAATCGCAACGATTCGCTTCGGAACAGTGGCAAGGAACATCGTAAAGACGGGCAAAACTCACTTAGCCAATGTTTCCCCGAGCAACGTAAGTTTTGGTGTCAATTGTGGACGTAAGGCGAGGACCAAAACAAATGCAGATGGCCGCCCAACTCACACACAGAAGAATCCAGGCTTACAACACAAAAAGTTCACAACACAAAAAAAACCCCCATAATCAATCCACTGCTTGATCAGCTCTTTCTCCGTTCATGGTCCCCAGGCACGGGGACAAAACCATATCTTCACAGCCGTTGGAAAAGCTGCAGGGTGGGGGCAAATTGTACCTGGGGGGAGGAGAGCCGATATCCTCCTTCAACTGGAGAGAGATAGCAAGGGGCTTATTGCAAGATTCAGCTCCAGGCCTATGCTTGGATGGGTTGAAAATGGGAAGGGGAGGAGGGAAAGGAAGGGAAGATCCGTCCTTAACTGTAAATTTTATCAGGGCTTCTCAGCTTTGCTGTCTGTTTATATTGTGGGGTTTTTCCCTGTCTGGATGGATGGGGGCGATCGTATGGATTCTATAGAATAGAATAGAATAGAATAGAATAGAATAGAATAGAATAGAATAGAATAGAATAGAATGGAATGGAATGGAATGGAATGGAATGGAATGGAATATAGGATGGAGTGGAGGGGAATGGAATGGAATATAGAATGGAATGGAATGGAATGATGGGAATGGAGTGGAATGGAATATAGAATGGAATGGAATGTAGAATGGAGTGGAGTGGAATGGAATGGAGTGGAATGGAATGGAATATAGAATGGAGTGGAATATAGAATGGAATGGAGTGGAATAGAATATAGAATGGAATGGAATGGAATGATGGGAATGGAGTGGAATGGAATATAGAATGGAATGGAATGTAGAATGGAGTGGAGTGGAATGGAATGGAGTGGAATGGAATGGAATATAGAATGGAGTGGAATATAGAATGGAATGGAGTGGAATAGAATATAGAATGGAATGGAATGGAATGATGGGAATGGAATGGAGTGGAATGGGATATAGAATGGAATGGAATGTAGAATGGAGTGGAGGGGAGTGGAATGGAATATAGAATGGAGTGGAATGGAATATAGAATGGAGTGGAGTGGAGTGGAATTGAATATAGAATGGAATGGAGTGGAATAGAATATAGAATGGAATGGAGTGGAATGATGGGAATGGAATGGAGTGGAATGGAATATAGAATGGAATGGAATATAGAATGGAGTGGAATGGAATATAGAATGGAATGGAGTGGAATGGAATATAGAATGGAATGGAGTGGAATAGAATATAGAATGGAATGGAGTGGAATGGAATATAGAATGGAATGGAATGTAGAATGGAGTGGAGGGGAGTGGAATGGAGTGGAATGGAATATAGAATGGAGTGGAATGGAATATAGAATGGAATGGAGTGGAATGGAGTGGAATAGAATGGAATATAGAATGGAATGGAGTGGAATAGAATATAGAATGGAGTGGAATGGAGGGGAATGGAATGGAATATAGAATGGAATGGAGTGGAGTAAGAGAGGAGAGGAGGAGAGCTGAGCTGGAAGGGACCTTGGAGGTCTTCTAGTCCAGCCTCCTGCTCAAGCAGGAGAAGTAGCTGTCCAATCTCTTCTTAAAAACCTCCAGTGATGGAGCGCCCACGATTTCTGGAGGAAAGCCATTCCACTGGTTAATTTTCCTCACAGTCAGGAAGTTCCTACTTAATAATAATAATAATAATAAAGTTGGAAGGGACCTTGGAGGTCATCGAGTCCAACCCCCTACTCAGGCAGGAAACCCTACACCATTTCGGACAAATGGCTGTCCAGTCTCTTCTTAAAAACTTCCAGTGTTGGAGCATTCACTGCTTCTGGAGGCAGGTTGTTCCACTGGTTAATTGTTCTAACTGTCAGGAAGTTTCTCCTAAGTTCTAGGTGCTTCTCTCCTTGCTTAGTTTCCACCCGTTGCTTCTTGTCCTGCCTTCAAGCGCTTTGGAGAATAGCTTGACTCCCTCTTCTTGGGGACAGCCCTTGAGATACTGGAGCACTGCTATCATGTCCCCCCTCGTCCTTCTCTTTGTTAAACTAGACATTAATTCCAAGTTGCTTCTCTCCTTGGTCAGTTTCCAACCATTGTTTCTTGTCCTGCCTTCAGGTGCTTTGGAGAATAACGTGACCCCCTCCTCTTCTTTGTGGCAGCCCCTCAAAACTTGAATACTTTGGGTTGGGCTGTTTACTATTGGCTCTTTTGGCAGTTTCTTGATTGGGGAATTGCTTTCTTGATTGTTGGTCTAATGGTGACCTTGGAGTTAATCTATGCTGATCTGAGTGCTGATAACTGGAGGAGAGGTGCTGGAGTGTGTTCCTCTTTTGGGCTGCTTTGATTGCCTCTTTTGCATAATCCATAGACGCTGCTGATGTCTCTGTGTCTATGGGTGGTTAATTAGTCAGAGTGCCAGGTTTCCAGGAATTCCCTGGCATTTTTGGATCTCGCCTGGTCTAAGCTGGTCACATTTTCCCAATTGAAATTATGGTTAACTCTGTCGTACGTTGTAAAATTAAAGAGTTTTCGTCCTGTCTTCTGACTGCCAGTTGGTGTTCATGGATGCCTTCTGACTGCTTGTCCTACAACGTGGGTGTTGCAGTGTTTACGCTGTACGTTGTAGGTTACTCCTGGTTTTTCTTCTGGGGTAGCTGGGTCTTTGGCTTTGCTTAGGACACTGAGCTACTAAATAACCATCACCCTTCTAGCTAAAAGTCCGCAACAGGGGGGCAACCAGCTCACCTCCAAGATCCCTTCCCAGTCTTTTATTCCATGATTCTGTAAGGGTCTTCCTCTTGAGCAGGGGGTTGGACTAGAAGACCTCCAAGGTCCCTTCCTGCTCTGTTCCCCCCCCCCCGATTCTGTAAGGGTCTTCTGCTTGAGTAGAAGGTTGGACTAGTAGACCTCCATGGTCCCTCTCAACTCTGTGATTCTAAGAAGTGGGTGCATAATCTTCAAAGGGCTTTTCTCCTGGCCACAACTGGATGGAGTATGGTGAGAATGCCTACCAGGGTGGGACCCTGGAGCATTCTGGGCAGTCCTCCCACATCCAACTGGGGTCTGCTGCAACTGGAGAGCCCACAAGGAAAGCTCAGCCAGGGAAATGGTTATTTCTTGCAAATCTTCCGATGTACCATTAGGCAGTCCTCAATGTATAACCACAATTGATCCCAACTCTTCGGTTGATACGCAAGACAATTGTTAGTTTTGCCCCATTTTACGGCTTTACGGAATCCCTGCAGGTAAGTTAGTAACAGGAGTTGTTAAGCACACATACACACACACACTCCAGGTGATTTTGCTGGCCAAAAGGTCACGTTACAAGTGTTTGTCGTGTGGCTGTCGCAACAGCACCGAAAGAACTGACTGGTGACCGGTTTTCACACTTAACGACCATTTGGGGCATCTCCTATCCCACCATCAATTCACACGGGCGACCGTGTGTGTTTGCACGGTCGGCCGGCCACCCTCTGCAACCTTCGAGCCAGCTTCCAACGTGTGAAGTCAACGGGGGGGGGGGGAAAGGAGCTGGATTCACTTAACGACCAGGTGACTCACTTAACAACAGCGGCCGGAAAGGTGGCCAAAACAGGGCAAAACTCTGTCTACCAACTGCCTGGCTTAGCAAAGGAGATGTTGGGGTCCGTTTCGGTCCTAAGACGGGGTCTACCCCGAATTTATACTATGCGGATGAACGGGACGGGGGGGGGGAAGACGCAGGAGCCTCAAAGGAGCCCTTGGAAAAGACAAAACCGCGAGCCGAGCTAGAGGATCGCGCGAAGGGTGAAAGGAGCGTCTCAAACAGGCGGAGAGAGCAGCGGATCCCGGGCTGGAGATCCACCGGATCCAGCCAAAGCCCGCCCTGGACGGAGCTCCACTCTCCTCAGCCCGAGCCGAGCCGCTCGGCCCGGCCCGAGTAATGCAAAGGGGGCGGGACTTCCGGCGACGTCGCGACGCCACTTCCGGCGTCGGCGCGCCACCACGCCCCGCCCTTTGTTGCCGCCCCGTATATAAGGGGCGACGTCGGCGGCGCCGGCCTCCACTTCGCTCGCGAGCAGGGCCGCGTCGGGCGGTTGCGCGCTTGGCTGGCTGGGCCCGGTGCGAGAGCGGCGCTGCGCCATGGAGATGAAGAAGCGGCTGACGCTGGAGCTGCGCAACAAGAAGCCGGCCGAGGTGAGTCCCCCGGGGGACGGGACGGGGTCGCCTTCTTTCTCCCTCCTTCCCCCCCCACGCTTGCACACACGTGTGCCCGGCAGACATGTTGGAGGCGCACGCGCGGGAGGACTTCCCCTCCTTCCCTCCCTCCCTGCCTTGGGGGGGCTGCCCCGACAGGATGCCCCCCCTGTACCTTCCCCACCCCCCAAAAGATCCTGGAAGCCGGGTCTCTTTCCCCCCCCACCAAGGGGCCCCCGCGCACATGGCCGGTGAAATGCGCTCCTCGCCCCCCCCCCGATTGGTTTTCTCTTCCCCCCCCCACCCAGCACACGTGGAGATAGGGCTCCACGTTGGGCCTGGGAAGGGGGGAGCAGGGAGGGATCAGCTACCTTTGCCCCCCCCCACACCTTTTGCATGAGAGAGAGAGGCGACCCCCTGGGGTGGGGGTCTCGCCATGAGAGAGGGAAAAAAGGGAACCCCCCCTCCAAAATCTTTCCCGGTGGGTGGGGGGGCACTTAATTGTTGTGATTTTCCTGGGTGGGGGGGAGGGCGAAAGTTGGGGGAGATGGCGCGTGGTGTCGTCCACGTGGGTCCTTTCTTGGGGGGGGGCTGGGGCGTTGAACGCTGCTGGGAAGGTGCGTCCGGCTCCGGGGGGGGGGAAGAGGGTCGCTGAAGCAGGGCTTTGGGGAGGGGGACAAGCGGGATCGACGAGACTGGAACTGGGGCAAACTTGGTGGGAGGAGGAGGAGGGGGGGATGGTGTTGCATGTGGGCGTCCGAGTCTTTGCAGCTTGCAAATCGACCCCCCCCCCCAAAAAAATACACACACACATACACACACACACACAAAAGGATTTGGGGTCTTGCAAGCCTCCAACCACCCCCGTCCGGCCTGCTTTTGCAGAGGATGCTGCGCTGGGGGGGGGGGCGCAGTGCATTTGGGAGGAGGCCGCCTCCTTTGTATTGCACCCCCCCCTTTGGGGCTGCAGGGACCCCCCCCTCCCCTCCCCGCAGGTTGAGGATCGGCAGGGGAAGTCCTCCCTTTCCCATCCCCCCCCCCGGTCTGGGATTGCGCCCGCGGGCGCCTCCTTGCAAGCGGCCTCCTGCCCTGGAAGCCCAGCGGGGCTGCACGGGGTGCGGCTGTGGGGCGCTCGAGCCCCAGATGAACCTGAAAGGGCTTGCAAAGAAGCCCCGGGCGGGCCTCGCTTGCAGAAGCCGCCTCGCCGGGCGGCGATCATGGCCGCCCCCCTCCCTCCCTCCCCGCGAGGAACTCTGGGGCTTGTAGTTCCGCAGAGCAGCCGCTGCAAAGCGCCTTTGCTCGTATTCCGCCCCCTCCCGCAGGGGACCTTGGGGGCGGGGGTCTTGCCCGCCCAGGCTCCTGGCCCTATTGTAATGATAATGGGGAGGGGGGGACGTTTCTGGCCCACGATTGGCTGATGCTCTCTGCTTCTGCTGCCCTCCTTAGGCAAGGGGAATTGAATTGAATTGAGCCTTGGGGAGGGGGGGTGTTGGTTTATAGAGAAGGGGGGGCGTTGCAACTGCACAGTTGGACAACTGGACAGCCATTTGTCTGAGATGGGTATAGGGCAGGGGTAGGCAACCTTGGCTCTTTTATGACTCTTTGTGGACTTCAACTCCCAGAATTCCTCAGCCAGCATGGGGGAACTATGGCCCCTTCATGACTTGTGGACTTCAATTCCCAGAATTCCTGAGCCAGCATGGGGGAACTATGGCCCTTTCATGATTCATGGACTTCAACTCCCAGAATTCCTGAGCCAGCCTGGCTCAGCTTGGAAACCTCTCCCTTTCCCCTTAGCATGGCTGGCTCAGGAATTCTGGGAGTTGAAGTCCATGAGTCATAAAAGAACCAAGGTTGCCTATCCCTGGTATAGGGTCTCCTGCTTGAGCAGGGGGCTGGACTAGAAGACCTCCAAGGGTCCCTCCCGGCTCTGTAATTGAACACTTATTTGGTTCGTGATGAGACATATAGGAGGAATTTTGCCTCCAGTTGAGCTCAAAATTGGACAGGTCTTGCCCCAGTTGTTGAGCGGACCCCTGCTAAGTTGTTAACTGGTTATTAAGTGAATCTGACTTGATCACAAAGGGGGGGTTTCACGTGACCCCCGGGACACACTGCGACCGTCATAAACATGAGCCAGTTGCCAAGCCTCTGAATTTCGATCCAAGGGACCATTGTGTGGGGGAGATGCTGCAACGGTGGGAAAAAATGGTCATAATCCCCCTTTTCTTTTTAAATTAGTGGTGTAACTCCAGTTACTAAATGAATAGTTGTAAGTGGAGAACTGTGTATTTCTAAGTATGATTGTGGTAGCCAGCAAACCTGGATTTTTTTAACTTTGGTGTGGCGTCCCTCTGTAATCTCAGCAGATTTAGAGCAAAAGTCGACTTGCATTCTTTTATTCTGAAATGCTTGGTGAGCCCAGAATTTTGGGGAGGGGGGGGGAAATCCCCTCTACAGATGTGCCAGAGGTTGCCCCAGCCTCTGGGTTCCTTAAGAAGAGGGGTGTTCCTCGTTTTTTTTTTTAAAAAAAGCACACATATCCTTTCTTAAAGGGGCCCAAAATGGAGTCCCAAGAGTAATTGGGGGGGGTCAATTTTTTTTTAATTTATTTTTTGTTAAAACCCAGAAATGACTCTGTGTTTTCCGTTTGGCTGGAAAGACAGGAAAACGTGTCGGAAGTTGGTGCACAAGTGTTGACTCTGAAGCTCCTTTGCAGACGGGTTGTAGTTGTGTGTTTGTGTGTTCCAAAGTACCTCTTTTCTCTAGAACACCATTCTAGTCCACAGTGGTTCTCAAACTGCGGCAACTTTCAGATGGGTGGACTTTCACTCCTGGAATTCTGGGAGTGGTAGTCCACCCACCTGAAAGTTGTCCCCCCCCCCTTTGGGGGGGGCAGAAAATAAGATTCCCACCTTTTGCCTGCTTTCGGCACTCTGAAATTGTAGAGTTTCAAGTTTCTAGATCTTGTGGAGTTCAGTTTGGTGGCTTGCAAAATATTCGTTAGGGAAGTTGCATGTTCAGAAAAACAGGCACAACTGGGGGGGGGGGGCATAGAGGCTACAAGGAAATTATTGATCCTTTGCAGGATTGCAGCTGATTTAAGCGATTCAGTCTTTGCACTTTGGATTTTGTCTCTAAAAATAATTGGGGATTGGAAGTATTTTCAGTAGAAAAGTAAAACAGAATTTGTTTTGGTTATACAATGTGCTGCACCAACTCACTGTAAACCCCAGATAATTTCAGGCTTTTCTGGATAATGCAGTATTCTTTACAGGCACATGCCCTTCCGCTTGGGTATATTGGCTCCTAACACCTGGGACTCAAGATTCTAGTCCTCTTGGTGGAATAATTTGTACATTACCCAGAGTCGCTTTATGAGGGAAATGGATGGGCTCCAAAATTAGAGAACGTTTGAAAAAACATTTGTGGCCCACAGCCCCCTTTTTCTCCAAAATCCATATTGTTGAAAATCTGCAAACTTTTCACCACTGAGAAATGTCTTTGAAATTAGTGGAAATGTTGGTGGCACTCCAGACAATTTGCAACAATCCTAACCTTAAATCCTGCAAGGTGGTTTGGGATTATTGATGTTTTATTATTTTAAAGCAGTGTTTCTCAACCTTGACAATTTTAAGGCATGTGGACTTCAACTCCCAGAATTCCACAGCCAACAATGCTGGCTGTGGAATTCTGGGAGTTGAAGTCCACATGCTTTAAAATGGTCAAGGTTGAGAAACACTGTTTTAAAGTATTTTGGCGTTGCCAAATCATCATCAAGACGTGGAAGGGACCGTAGAGGTCTTCTAGTCCAGCCCCCTTATTACCATTTCAGAAAAGTAACTGTCCAATCTCTTCTTTAAAAGCCCCCAGTGATGGAGCACCTAGTGGCAATTCCTGGTGGCAAGCAGTTCCACTGGTTAATTGTTCTCACGGTCAGGAAATTTAGTTCTAGGTTGGTTTTCTCCTTAGTTTCCATCCATTATTCTCTTGCCTTCTGGTGCTTTGGAAAATAAGTTGATCTCCCCCCCCCCCTTTGGGGCAGCCCCTCAAATACTGGAAGACTGCTATCATGTCTCCCCTAGCCCTTCTTTTCATTAAACTAGACCAGGGGCAGGCAACCTTGGCTCTTTTATGACTGGTGGACTTCAACTCCCAGAATTCCTGAGCCAGCCATGCTGAGGGGAAATGGAGAGGTTTCCAAGCTGAGCCAGGCTGGCTCAGGAATTCTGGGAGTTGAAGTCCACGAGTCATGAAGCAGCCTAGGCCGAGGCCAGAGGTAGGCAACCTTGGCTCTTTTATGAGTCGTGGACTTCAACTCCCAGAATTCCTGAGCCAGCCTGGCTCAGCTTGGAAACCTCTCCCTTTCCCCTCAGCATGGCTGGCTCAGGAATTCTGGGAGTTGAAGTCCACCAGTCATAAAAGAGCCAAGGTTACCTACCCCTGGCCTAGGCCTAGGCCACTTTATGACTCCTGGACTTTAGCTCCCAGAATTCCTGAGCCAGCATAGCTCAGCTTGGAAGCCTCTCCCTTTCCCCTCAGCGTGGCTGGCTCAGGAATTCTGGGAGTTGAAGTCCACGAGTCATGAAAGAGCCAAGGTGGCCTGCCCCTGAACTAGATGGACCCAATTCCTGCAACCATTGTGTGTTTTGCCCACCCCCCTCCAGCCATATTTGTTTCTCATCTCTGCACCCTTTCTAGTGTCTCAACATCTTTCTTTAATATCGTGGTGACCAAAACTGGATGCGGGCATTCCAAGGGGTGACTTGCTTTAAAGCTTCATTGGAATTTACCTTGGTGGCCATAAAATTAAGTAATTGTGCAGCAGGTATAATAAATCGGCAATAAGAGAGTAGTAAAAACACATGGGGGGGGTTGTGTGTATGTGTGTGTTTTTCCGATTGGCGAACCATTGGTGCATGCAAAGATGGCCTGTCCAGGCAAGTGGGAAGGGTGGAAGGGAGGGGAGAATTAAGAGGTAGATTAGTAGGTGAGCCTGG